TTTTTTTTGTTTTTTTTGTTTTTTTTGTTTTTTTTGTTTTTTTTACTTTCAAACTGAAATAATAATATCAACAAACGCCTCATTTCAAAATGTTTCAAACTCAGCCGAAAACGCTGAGAAATACTAAATTAAATGCAATATTTTTTCCGTATTTGAAAATAAAAATAAAAAACTTACTCTAACATCGCTTTCTGGCCAATTAGATAATATATGATGAATTTTGCTGATACTATTATCATTGATTGTTATATAAAGACCTCTGCAATTATTGTACGTTCTATTCGTTTATGGATTTGATTCTAAATCAAGTCAATAATCTACTAATTAAAATTAATGTTTGTATATTAAAAGCCATTCCTCCGACAGGGATTCTCCAGAAAAAATACTTCCCTTTCACTCAATACGTTTCAAAAAACCATTTCGCAGAAAGTATAATTCTTTTTGTCAAGTGGATATTTTATCTCACTTAACGTTATTCCTGTTAAGTTTATTCTTTCAACTTACAAATAATAAAAAAGAAAAACGCTCCAGTTCTCATTTGGTTTATATGGTAGCATATGCTAAATTAGATTATCTTTCATTAAACATTAACGTCATGCTTAAAATATTTTCCAGAAATTTTAGCATTTTAGAATTTGCGCGTCAATTAAAAATTTCGAAAAGAATTTTTACTTTGGTTTTCGATAAATGTAGCCGAAATTTTGACAAGCCAAACCAACAGTTGGTGTATAAACAATTGGCATTAATTCCTTGACATGTTCGCATAAAAGTCGATAAAACAATTTTTCGTTGCGATCCTGAAACAATAATAATAAGCATCATTTTTATTAATAGTGATTATTAATCTAAAGGAAATCATCTCAATGAATATTAGATTTTACTTATCATTTTTTTATTCTTTACACGTTCCAGTTTATACCAACAAGATTTACATAATTACATAATCACATGTTCATATTTGAAAGCCTACGTAAAGAATAAAAAAATAATAAGTAAAAGATAAAAATGACAAAAGGATGACAAAGAAAATAAGCTTTATGTAGGAGTTAAAGAAACCTGTAAACCATCCAACTGTATGTATCGCGCTAAATCATTGGATTGTTGTCGAAGTTGAGTGATTATACGATATTCTTGCTGTTCTTGGGTCATAAATGCCGGTGGGAGTAATCCATGTATTCCAAGATATTGTCGTTCAAATAAACTAAATGCCATTCCCTAAAAAGAAAAAAAAACTTTCCAAATTATTAAGCTATGCTATGCTTTACGGTTATTTTGAAAAAAAAGTAAACAATATTAGAAAATAAACAAAATATTTCATAAAAACTTGATAAAACAGTTAAAGTAAATCATACAGAATTGAAATGAAGCAAATTTTGTATTTGAAATGATTAAAGTGAATTATGTGCATTGGTAAAAATAAGTAAATCTTAGATAACAACAACCAAATGCAGCTAAAGTGATTAAGTACTAAAGTAAACCTTGTTGATTCGACTATCATTTAACAAATCCGTGCCACGTTTTTTGGGTGTTATACGTTCTGGTCTGTATAATTTATACATTGCCATCTCTTCTTCCGACATTTCTTCTGGCTTTGACAAATCCGAAAAATTAATTATCGTTGTGCATATTGTACGTATTGTGCTGCAAAAAAAAATATATATATATATATTACACCAATTACAACGAAGTGAAAAAAGTATACATTAAAACATCATTTAAAGTTGAAAATCATTTTGTTTATATAAATAATTTGAAAATGATAAATTATTAACATCCGGATAACAAAAAAAATAGAAAGAAACCATTTTTATAGTGATATAATTTGGAAATTAAAAATCATCTTAATTATAATTTAAAGATTAAATGAAATAATTTCATGACGAATTCCTAAACTTTTATACAAAAAAAGATACAAAAAGGCTATATGATGGATCTTACCTATCTTTTAATACTTTCATGCTTATTAACGTGTTATTATACAACACACGAAGTTGTGCTGATACCATCAATGCCATCTTCCGAAATCTGAAAGTATACTTTGGTACTCTCGTGCAAAATCACTAAGTAGTGTGTGTATGATGTATGTATGTATAAACGTGGATGTATGTGGATGTGTGTGTTGTACGTATGTGGATGTATGTGCGTATGTATGTGGATGTATGATGTGTGTGCTGTATGTATGTATGTATATATGTGGATGTGTGTGTATGTACGGATGAGATAAATTTTAGAGAGTACTAAACGGTTAAATGAAAATAAACTAATGAGAGTACGAGGGGGACGGGAGTAATGTCAAAATGGATTTCTAACAGTCGACAATGAAGTTCATTAAAATTATGAGAAACTAGAAGAGAGCATGTATAAACAAGAGGGAAGAATATATGAGGTCAGTTGGAGAAATATAAATAACACATATAAAAAAAGGGATTGTAAGAATAAAAATTTTTATCAAATAATTTGATTGAAAAATATGAGAAATATGATTAATCATTTCTGATTATTTTTTCTTTTGTTAGACAAAATAAACTATTAGAGATATACAAATAAATGAAAGTACAATTACTGATAGATGTTAGTAATACGAGAAAATGAATCAGTATTATCGGAGCTGATAAGATGGTATGATCGATAGAAGCACGAAATTGAGTAGAAATGCGGAATCGAGAATGATGTGAAGCGGCAGAATTAAGAGACTTTTTGAAGCAGTGATCGCATGGAAATGCGGAATCGAGAATGATGTGAATCGGCAGAATTAAGGGACTTTTGCACTCATCCGTAAGGGTGGTAATAATTGACGAAAATCTTTTGTTTGCCAATATCGTTTATCATTACTAATTTCACTCTTCGCTATCACCACTTTTATT